GCCTCGGTCATACCTGGGGACTCTTACCACAGGGACTGGGTAGAAGGATGAAAGAAAACTATTTCTGATTTAAAACCCCCAGCTGCTGAGATGTGGCTGATAGGCCAGACTCCCCCGGCTTGGTCACTGTCTCCAAGAGCCAAGATCTGTAGAGGCGGACCAGGCCTTGACTCCTGGCCACCAGCTCTGCCAGCTCTGCACACGCCCCTCCCTCATCAGTAATGCTCTCTTCCTCCTGAGCCCAGATAAGGAAGGCCTCAGAAGCTTCTTTCTCCTCCGCACCCTGCTTTGCAGCCCCTTGAGCCTATTGGAGCTGGCAGGAAACAAAAACCACTGATTCCCTAGACACAAGCCCAGAGTTAAGAAAGAAAATACAAGCCCTGGCCGGGTAGCTCAGTTGGTTAGAGCGTTGTCCCAATACGCCAAGGTTGTGGGTTCAGTCCCCAGTCAGGGCACATACAAGAATGAACCAATGAATGTGTAAACTAGTGGAACAACTCTCTCTCTCTTCTCTATCTCCTTTCCTCTCCTGAGTCCTCCCTCTCCCCAGTCCTCCTTCTCTCTCACAGGGTGGGGCAAAAGTAGGTTTAAAGTTGTTCATATGGAAAAATACAATAATTAATAAATAACAACACAAGAATAAGCGCTCTGTTTCGCATACTCACAACTGTAAACCTACTTTTGCCCCACCCTGTACTTTCCCAGGGCAAATGTTCTAACTACTTAATTGCAGGGGCTAAATCCACGTCAGCCCTGACCGGGTCGCACCACTGGTTACAAACTTTGACGCCTCCCACAGTTTCGAATGCCAGCTCCCTGGCTGGAATTCAGAGCCCTTGCCCGGCCCACCTTCCCGGCTGCAGCCTTCATTGCTCCTGGCATTTGCCCAGATCCCAGCCAAATCAGGCCCTTGTCATTTCCTGGATGTGCCTTTTGCTTCCCCACCCCGTGCCGCCTGCCCCTGCCTTCACCTCAGTGCTGCGCCCTGAGCCACGGTGCTGCCTGGTGCGGCTAAGCGCCATGTCTTCCACCTGGAGTCCCTTCCCTTCATTCTGTGCCAAGCTCCCTCTATGTGGCCTTTAACAGTTTAGCTCCAAAATCTGCCCTGCGGCCCTCACCAGCTCCCCAGATTTCCATCTCCCTGCTGCAGCCTGTTTAGTCTGTTTGCCCTGAATTGAGTTCGCTGGTTACTGATGATGTCAGCCTCTCCTGTCAATCTGAGCTCCTGAGGGGCAGCAGGGCTCGCTGGCTGTCCCCCGCAGCACCCAGGACAGGACAGGCTCCAGGAGGGCCGCAGCAATGCTGAGTGAACTCACGCTGGGCTCCAGGTCCCTCGCAACAGGGCAGGCTGTCTGCTAATCTGCGGGCCCGAGGCAGAGACCTGCCGGCAACGGAATGCGGACCCTGGCCAGACGCCCACCCAAGAGGGAGCTCTGGAGCGGCAGGCCTGCCTCCTGCCCACTGGGACCCTGAACAAGGCCCTCGCCCTCTCTGGGCCTCAGTATCCCTCTTGGTCCAAAGACAGGTCCAGAAACTCTGTCCAAGGAGTAGGCAGTGAGCAGGGAGTGGAGCCTCCAAGTTGTCAGTCTCCTGGATGTATCTTTAGAAAGTCCCGTGTGTCCCTTATCTTTCGAAACTGCCAGATAAGGGGATGGTGGGGCAATAAATCTGCAATGAGTTTTGGTCAGGGCCCAATGTGGGGGAACAAACAGGAAGAAGCCCTGTGCTGTGTCCCAGAGGGTGAAGGCAGGAAGGGCACCAGCCCTTTGAGCACCAGGCCGCTGCCAGGCAGACAGCTCCACCGCCCGCACGGCCCGGGTCTGGCGTGTGCAGCCTACAGAGCCCTCAGCGGTTCATCTCGACAGGTGGGCAAGGCAGAGGCATTTCCATTCTGTGGGCGGAAAGTCAAAACCGGAGATGGGACGAGATTTGCCCAAGGTCTTGGAGCGAATGGGTGTCAGGGGTAGGACTCTGCCATCTGACCGGCACACCTGCTATGAAAGGACAGGCCAGCCCCCAGGTCCTCACGCCCGGGATGGTGGGGTCAGAAGAGACTGGGGTGCTGGCGAAAGTGCAGTCCAGGAGCCAGGTTGGTCTCCCCCTCGGTGCCTCCCTGGGGACCTGGCCTGGGGGTACACAAAGCAAAAGGGAGGGCGATTTGGGGATGAATGGGTGGGTAGATGGATGAGCCCGACGGGTGGACAGATGGATGGACAGAGGAAAGAAGGAAGGAACACAGGGAGCAGGACAGGAGGAAAGGGAGGGAGCACCCATCAGCTGAGCTCCTACCTAGTACCAGGCGTGTGCAGGGTGTTTTACACCCACTATCTCATGTAATCCCTGGCAAGACCCGCTCCGTTAGCTATTAAGATACCCTTTCACAGGTGAGGATGCTGAGGCCCAGAGACAAACGGGGTCTAGGATTCCTCTCCCGCTGCCCTTGGCTCCCTCGCTGTTCAGTCCTGGGAGCAGGGGAAGGCCCTTAGAGGTGGTCCTGTTTGAACAGGGCCCTGGAAGGTGTTATGAGAGGAGGGGACGTCCTAGGAGCCCAGCTAAGTGCCCATGGACACATGCGGGCTGACCAGGTTCGAGGCAGAGGGAAGGGGTGTGAACAGAGATGGGGGTGTCTGGGAAAACACGATGCTTTGAGGGGAGAACAGATAAATCAGTTTGACTTAAGGGGCAGGTCTGTGGAGATGAGAAGGCCATCAGGGGAATCCGGCCGGGGGCGGGGCTCGCACCCCAAGGCTAGGTGAGGGCTTTATCCTGAGGACGAGGGGGGTCCTGAGGGAAATGACAGGGTTGGGGTCGGGGCAGGGTAGAAGCCCGGGCCGGGGGTGGGACGGGGGCTAGGAGCCACAGAGTCACCGAGAGAAAAGGCCGCCCAGGTCGCCGGGCACAGCTTGAGGGAGGGGCAGAGAGCAGGGAGGGACCCTACGGTAGGGGAGGCCGTCTTAGGAGGTGCCCCGCCTCTCAGGGCCCAGGGACCTGGCTCTGGGCAGTGTCAGATGTCAGGAGGAGGCGCTTCCTCAGGCTTAATCTCATCAGGTGGAAAGAGGCATTTTCTTGGCTCTGTGTCTGATTCAATCTGTATTTCCTGTGGGCCTGTGGCAAGGCATCTGTGCTGGACCAGAAGGACCGGAGGGCTGGGGGAGGGGAAATGGGGGCGGAGAGAATCTGTTTTTTACCTGGTGGCTGCAGGAGACCTCTGCCTCCAATGCAGATGGGGACTGGGGGTGGGGGGGATTCAAGGCGGGGCCCTGCCACCACCCCTCCTGCCCCAAGGGCCCCAGTCCCCTGAGCACAGGGCTGCGCTTAGCTGGCCTCTGTGCGGAGAGCCCTGCCAAAAAGATGCCCAAACACACTCTTCAGGGTCTTCTTGACCAGCACGGATTGCTAGCTTCCACTTTGCTTGTCTGTGCACTCCATCAACATGGTAAGCACCGGGGGTCAGGACTTTGTGCCTAACAGGCTGCTTTGCACTTTCTGGTTTGGGATTTTTATTCAGATCCACCAAATGTAGGGCCATCAGCAAGTACCTGTCAGGCCCTAAATCAAACCTCGTGTCCTGTAGACATTGGGACCACAGCACTGTTAACAGCAGGCATTTGTTGAACGCTAAGCTCTCACCCAGCATTGCTCCTTGTGCTGTGTGGATTTTCTCATTTAACTGTTAGGGCAGTCCTGTGAGAAGGTGTGGACCTGGGACTACACAGGTTGGCTTTGAATTCCAGCTCAGCTGCCTCTTAGCTGTGTGATTTTGGGCAAGTTACTTAACCTCTCTGTGCCCCAGTTTCCTCACATGTAAAAATGAGCTGATAGTGTTTATGGAATTGCTGTGAGGGTTGAGTTAACACATGGAACATACTTCACACATCATAAGCAATGTAAGTGTTAGCTTTTATTTTGTTATTGTTGTTACAATGCCTGGTTTTCCTGGTGAGGAAACAGACACACTAAGTAAGTTGCCCAAAGTCACACAGGTATGACGGACACACAGGTTCTATAACCAGGGTGTTTAACCGGGTACCCAAATAGCCACACGTGGCTACAGAGCACTGGAAATGTGGCCGTGTGGCTAAGGAGCTGAACTTTCCATTTCTTTTCATTTTAACTTTAAGTTAGAAGCCACGCAGGACTGTGTTGGACAGAGCCTGGGTCCCACAGCCCGTGATCGCGTTTAAATGATTCCAATGTGCATTCGAAGTTGCAAACCACTGCCCTGTGCTGGAGCAGCCTGTCAAGGTCAGGGCATCTCATCTTGTCCTGCTCTTGGCCATTTCCCTGGGCGGCGTAAACCTGTGGGAAGCAGTGACTGAATTGCTTGTCTCTGGTCCCCTCCCCCGCCCACCCGCACTGGGCCTGGCGCAGAATAAGCCCTAAGCGAATGATGGGTCAAGGTTGAGGACTGAATTACATCATATTCGCCTCTCTTTACAATCCTTCTTGGGTTTTTCTGCTTTGAAATGTCCTGTTCTCTGGTTCAGGATGTTGAGCTCTTTAAGAAGCTCGTTCTAGAGTCTTCTCTTTCACACGCAAGTTGTCAGAGACAGGGTTACTAGGATTTAGAATCATTGCATGTAAATCAGAGTTTCCTGGAGGCCTGTGGTAGGTGGTAGGGGGAGCAACTTGTTCCTGTTTGCCTGCGACTCCCCCGGTTTTAGTATTTGGATGTCCTCCAGCCCGGAATTCCCCCTGATCCCCGGCAAACCGGGAAGGCACGTCACCCTGCTTCCAGGGGGAGCGACGATGCCTCTGCTTGCTTTGAAGGAGGGAAGAAAACTAAACCTGAGGAATGAGACCCTTATCCCTTCAGACCTGTTGCTGGCTTGTGGAAGGCAAAAATAAAAGCAGCTGGTGCCAAGGAGTGACCGCTAACCAGGGCCTGGCCTCAGATGGACAGAAGTGACCCGATAAAAATCTCCCTAGCGAGACGCAGCTGAGACCTGTGGTTTCTTATGTCCACCCGGCGAGGAAAGAGGGCTCCGTGGGAAATCGCCGGTGCAGAGCCCTTGGTTGACAGCAGGGCGGCCGTGGCTTCCTGATCCAGAATCCCACCGCCTGGTACATGGATCCGAGGCCCTGGTAAGGATTCAGGATAAGTAGAAAGGGGCTTTCCTAGTCAAGTTTGGGCCAAGGCCAGGATCAGGGTAAATTCTATGATGGATGATAGTCTGTCAAGGATTAGCCTCAGGGTGAGGGACCCGCCCATAACTAGGTGTTTACGTTGTTAATTATTGGCCTTTGGAGAGCACCTTCAAATAGAGCGTTCTGCACTCTTACAGTAATTTTTTTTTTTAATTTTTCAAAACTAGGAAAATGGTAGTTCTAATCTCCCTCTGTTACCTGCGGCCAGCATAAGCGTGGTGTTCGGACTCTCGTGAGGCACGTGTGGGGCTAGTTCACTGACCACAAGGTCAGGTTTTAAGAGGAAAAAAATAAACTAAAACTCCAAACGTTAGACGTGGAACCACAAACAGAAAGAGACAATAGTAGGCGGCAGCGTGAGGCATCTACCAATCCTGGACGCTTCTCGATGAAATCAGGTGCTTTCATTCTTTCCCTGAGGCCTGGAGGAATGCAATTAATGAGTAATTTATCATGCTGGCTTGTACCACACCCAGTGCGGGTTTCCTTACTGCCACCCTGCAGCTAACCCTTGTCCTGCAGTGTGTGAGGGCTGGGCTGGGAAGACAAGCCTTTGGAGGGAGGCGGGAAAGTTTCTGTGTCTGTCTGTCTCTCTGTCACCTGTCAGAGAGGAGCCTGTGGCAGGGAGAGGATCCTCTGGACAGGATTTGGCTTTTGCTTCCCACTGTTGTTCCTCCTTAAGTGATCTTGATCAAGTCACTTCCTCTGCACTGAGTAGAGACAACTGTTCCCAGGAGAGTCGTAAGGGATGGGACAGGCAGTCAGGCATTTCGCGTCAGGCATTAAGAACCCAAGTCAATTGGATGTTAAACCCAGAGAGAGCTACATCCACTTGGGGGGCAGGGAATTCCCAGCCCACAGAGCCTAATCCTTTGGCATCAGGGCCACTAAGCATGCATAGGACAGACCTGATGTCACCCCTGCTTTGTGCCACACCTGAGAAGGCCCACTGAGGCTTTGATGTGGGCCCAGCCAGGTGGGACCGGGCAGGATAGGGCAGCCCAGTCTGTGGGCGAGGCCTCCCAGTACTGAGGGCCCGCGGCGACAGTCCGCATTTCCAGCAAGCGCCTGCTTGTGGGGAAAATAAAACTCCTGTCCTCGGAATTGCTGAGTCCTTAAACTCATGAAAGCACTGATACACACATGCATGCAGAGACGCGATTAAACATCCAAACAGATGCACCCATGCGTGCACAACACCGGAGTATGTGGGCACATATGAACACCCTGGTGGATGCAGCGCTTATGCACAGACTTGCACGTATGGCCACCCTGCAGCTAACCCTTGCTGCACGCACGGTCACACAGACTTCACCAGCGTATACACGTGCACGCTCCCGTATCACAGGCAAAGGGAGAGGGGGCCTGCCTGGCTTGCTGCTGCTCCATCCCCCAGTTCTATAAGTTTCCCTCTGTGGTAATAGGTCTGGAAGAACCTTGGCAGTAAAGATAAGGTGGTGGAAGGGGTGGGGTGGGGTGGGGAAAGCAGTCGGGCAGGGGGCAGAAGCTCACGGACCTTCGTGCTGCTCCGAGGCCAGCTGGCTTCATCAGTGGAGGCCAACAGCCCCCTTTCTGGAGGGCGTCCACTTACTTTCCTGAGCCTCGTTTTCCTTTTTGGTAATGTGGGGGTGATAATTGTCATGGGCTGAGGGGGGATCCAGGGTGTCTGTCATCTTGGCCATGAACTCCAGCAACCTGGAGCTTGAGGCTGCAGAGACAGCTGGGTTCAGTGCCCAGCTCTGCTCCTTACAGTCACGTGACCTGGAGGTGAGGGCTTGCTTTTCACTTCTCTGCCTCGGCCCCTGCACCTGTAATGGGAAGCCAGGTAGCACCTACCTGTTCAGTGCATACGGGGGAAACACATGGAATGGCACCTGTCACATAGCAGCCGCCCCCAAAACTCTGCGTTGTTACTTCCATAGAGGGGACTGTGAGCTCAAGAAGAGTTGTTGCCCAGGCCCCTTGAGGCCCCCTGACCCTGACCCTGACCCTGGGCAGAGAGCTTTCCCGCAGGTGTGGAGCCAAGGCCCAGGCTGTCAAGGGAGAGCCCTGGGAGTGGCCAGAGGGGCCAGGGCTGTTGACGATCAGCCGATCATGTTGATTTCGGCAGCCATGACCTGCCCCCTGGCCCCACAGCCCCCCATGGGCACTCAGGTGCCACGGCTGGTTGGTCCCCGTCCTTGGCACCTCGCGTACATGCTTTCTCCTCTCCACCCCCTCTGCCCTATTTCAGCCCAGGTGACCATGGCCCCTCATCTAGCCCACCCGTTTTTCCTCTCAGTAGTCAGGGAAAGGCACCTGAGAGTGCAACCTGGTCTCCTCACCTTCTTGCTTTAAGCCATGCAGTAGCTCCCGTTCTTCAGCGTGGTTCCTGCCGGCGACCTGGGCCCTGCCCCTCGCCCAGCTCTTCCCTGCAGGCTTCCTGTGTTCTGGTCACACCAAGCACAGGCGCCTGTTTGCCTACTACCATTGGTGGGGCCCGCACGGGGTACTGTGTGAGGCGGGATGGGAAGTCCATGCTCTGTGACAAATAACCCCCCATCCCAGGGGTTCGCTCTGTAAGTTTCTTTCTGTCATGCTCCATGTCCAGCACGAGTCACTGGGGGAAGACGTTCGGTTCCATACAGTTTCTTGGGGGAAACCAGGATGATGGTAGCTGTGCCATCTAGAACTTGTGGCCTTCTCATCTTTTGCACCAAAGACAAGCGTTCAGGAGGGAGGGTCACAGGCAGGTCATCTGTGCTTTAGCCTGGAAGTGGCACACATCACTGCTGCCCATGGCTGAACCGTAGCTGCCAAACGGCGAGGAGGCTGGGATGCGTGGTAAGTGATGGACTGCCTGGTGAGCATCGCTACTGGCCATAGACAGGCCCTTCCCACTCCGCCGCTGCTCGGAGTGAGGTGGGGTGCGGGGCCTGGGGCTGAGCCTGCTGACTTCTCCCTACTTCCCCACCCCAGCCCAGGCCTAAGGCAGCTCCTCAGTTGCCATTTATTTGACAAGACCCTAGGGAGGCCTTTGTGCCTGCTGTTCCTTTCTAAGAGGACTCCCAGGGGGAGAAAAGCTGTGCTGCCGCTTAGCAGGTGGTGGCTTTTATCTTACACACACTGACCAGATCCCTTTCTGATTCTGTTTCCCTTGTCGAATTGGCTGCTAGGAAGCTCAGACACAAATCTGAGGCCTATCTCCTCTCTGTGGGGCACCTGGCGACACCCATTTGGGAGCTGAACTCCCCCGCATTTCAGGCGATCTCGCTTGTTCCTGCATTTCCCTCTCTCTCCCCATTTCCTCCCCATGGCTTTTCCATTCCCTTCTGTCTTGTGTTCTCTCTCTTTCTGTAAGGCCTCTTACCTCCTTTCTGGCATCAGACAGGCATGAATTAGTCAGTCCCTAATTCTGTGCTGCTTCCTACAGCCAATGCAGCAAGGGCTTTGGGCAAAGTTCCCAAAAGGAGAGTGGAAACGGCTGGGCTCCCCAGGACAGACCTGTCCCTGTGAGGCGGGTGGGCTGCCTGTAAGGGCGCGGCTCATGCACAGGTCAGGCCTTTGGTCACCATGACTTTCTGAGGTTAACAGTCTACTCATGTGCCTTTTGAACTGAGCACAGAGAAGAGCCTTTGGAGTCAGCTGCCCAGGCTGGGCCAATGCTTTCTCTGTCCCAACCCCATGGGTGTCCGGCCACTCTTGTCTTCCCCGGGTCTTAGGGCCTGGGGTGGGCAACGCACTGAGCTGGGCCCCCTGGAGCAGAGTCCCTGGCTTTCTGTGAGGGGCCCTCAAGCCGGTAGAGAAGACGAGACCTGACACCAAACTCCAAATCGGGGCAGACGGCCTCAGGGACCTAAAGGCAGGGAGGAGGGACAGCTGTGGGGGACAGAGAGGAGCAAGATCTCTGCTATTAAGGCGTTGAGGAGGACTCTGGGGGCTCGGGAGCTGGCGATGGGAGGGTGTGGGCTTGTGGAGATGGGCGCAGGCGATCGGTGGCTGGGGAGGGCAAGCCGAGTGGAGGGAAAGGCAAGGGCGAAGGGCCCAGGGGACTGGAAATGCATGAGCAGACACAGGGGAAGCTGGGCGGTGGTCTTCATCTGGAAGGTACCCTTTAGAAGATGAGCAAGAAAAAAGCAATCTTGGAATATGGGGTGGGACCCAACCAGAAGGCCTTGAATGACAGGCTGAGTTTGGCCTTGAACCTGTAGGGCAACAATGAAGGGTGATAGAAGGTGGGGGTCGGGATGGTAAGCCGTCCACCCGGCTCGGTGTCCAGAAGATCCCTCTAGCCTCCATAGATGGGGGGCTCTGGAAGGGTCATTGAGATTGGGAACAAGGGGTTTGACCTTAGCAGCAGCAAGGCTGCGGGGAGGCCACACAGTATCATGGGTGTGGCCACACACGAGGCCCAGACCCTCTCACTGGCCACTCATGAGCTGGCCCTCCTCGCCTCCAGCTGGTATCCTTACTCCCATCGCCCATCTTTTATGTTCACACCCGTGTGCATGTTGTTGTTGTTGTTGTTTTAATATCTCCTTGTTAATCTTACCAAACTACATGTATTTCCCCAAACATTCCATATTATCTTCTATCTCATGGCCTTTTCTCAAACTGTTCCATCTGCCTGGGACACCCCCCACCTACTCGCCGTTGTCCTGCCAACATGGCTGACTTACTTGCCCTTCAAATCACAGCTCACGTGTCACTTCCTCTGGTAAGCCCTCCCTGACTGCCATGTGTACAAACCTCCATTATTACCTAAAACCCCCTGGGTCCCAGTGGCCCAGACACCCCCAGGGGCCTCACTCCCAGGACTCTCTGCTCCTGTAAGGCTGGGCTCGGGCTTACTCTTTCCAAAGCCCCAGTGCCTGGCACAGGGCCCGGTCACATGGCGGTGCTCAGTAAATACTGAGTGAACAAATACGAGGCTGGATGAGAAGCGAGGACAGCTCAAGATGCCTGGATGATGATAGTGGTCGTAACTATTACTGTGGATCAAGGGCTCTATGCGTATCATTGAATTTCATCCTCATGACAAGTCTGTGAGAGGGATGCTTTCGTTGTCCCCATTTTACAGATGAGAAAACGGGAGCTTCCAATGTTGAGCCACTTGCCTGGCCAGCTGGCAAGAGGCAAAGCTGGAAGTGGGGCCCAAGCGGGCTGGCTCCAGAGGACACGATGTTACCCGCTTGGCGGGGTGGGGGGGGGGCAGGGAGGCTAGTGTGTCTGGTGAGACGGTGGATTGGGAATGTGGTGAGGTCCCTCTATGGTCTTTCTGCTTTCTTATGTTCACACTGAAGGGATGAAAAGCAGACAAGTCAGCAATGAATTATACAGCATCTCACCAGGTCATAGAAGTAGCCACAATTACAGCCTGTTCACTTGGTTGACCTTCATGGCATGTCACTTTCGTGGCTGTGCTGTCATATGTGCTCAAGGTGAGACCCCTGTGTGTCCCACGGTCAAGGCAGGGGGCCTCACACTCCTTCTGTCCTGTTTGTCCCCTGCAGATGTCATGGCACCCCCAGTACCGCAGCTCCAAGTTCCGCCACGTCTTTGGCAAACCAGCCAGCAAGGAGAACTGCTACGACTCAGTGCCCATCACCCAGAGCGTCCACGACAATCACTTCTGCGCCGTGAACCCCCACTTCATCGCAGTCGTGACTGAGTGCGCTGGTGGGGGGGCCTTCCTCGTCATCCCCCTGCACCAGGTAAGGCTGCCTGGTGAGCCCCAGGCCCAAACAGACCTCAGGAGGCAGCTCAGGACAGAGGGAAAGTAGAAAGAGCCTGGCTTTCTGCTACCATGCATGGGTTCAAGTCCTAGACCTGCCTATTACTAGCCGTGTGACCTCGAATAAGTCATTTCACTTCTGTCAGCCTTGGTTCCCTAATTGGGAGAAATATACCTCTCCTGGGATGTCAGCAGTTGCCTAGCTATTCCTGGGATTTCCCCTCCACCCCGCTGCAAAATAATTCACTCCTGAGTAAAATATAATTATTTTTCATCTTCACCCAAGGATATGTTTATTGATTTTAGTGAGAAAGGAAAGGGAAGGGAGAGAGGAGAGGGAGGAAGAGAGAGAGAGAGAAACATTGAGAGAGTGAGAGAGAAGAGAGAGAAACAGAGGTTGGCTGCCTCTTGTACAAGCCCCGACCTGGAGTCAAACCTGCAACCTAGGTATGAGCCCTGACCAGGGATCGAATCTGCAACCTCTTTCGTATACAGGACGATGCTCCAACCATCTGAGCAACCTGGTCAGGGTAATAAAATATAATTTTTAATGCATTGCCGGGCTCACACAACATCCAAGAAATCTCCAAAGCCGCTTTCCCTCCCTCTGAAAAGAAAACAAACCTTAAGCCAAAATCTACAGTAGGAGAGGAAAACAGTAAGTGAATGGGAAGAACGGGCTTGTCCTGAGAGCAGATGTTAACAGTAGAGTTCAAACCATAGAGTTTGAACAGCATTTGCTGATATTTAACAATTTTTGACCCCACAAATGGCAGTTTCATATAGAAAAAGAAATAAAACCACTATTATTTATAGATGTGATTGACTACAGAGAAACACAGAACATAAGTCAAAGTATTATTTAAAAAATAAGAGTATTTGGAAGGTTGTTGGATATGAAAATCAGAATACAAAAATCAGTTGCATTTTTCCATCCCAGGAATGCTTAGAAAAGGTAAACATTTGCAGTAGGAAAAACAGGATGAACGTCCGGGAAAAAACAAGCAAGACTTAGAGAGAGGGCATTTCTGAGAGACCAGTATTCATGACCCAACAAATGGAAATATGTACCAGGTTCATGAATAGCCTCTTTTTCTCTCTCTGCCAAATTTCTACACCATTCTCCTATTTAGGACCTATTCCAGAGCCTGTCCCCCGACCCCTTAGGACACCAGGCTCTGAGTGCTTTGACTTGGAGCCTTTGGTGTTCTGCTAGTACCTGCTATACTTGGAATAGCAGGTCTATTGTTCATCCATATATCACATTGTGGGAACACAATGGGTGCTTGTAAATTTTCATCGATTGAATAAATTACCCAGTAATTGTTCATCCAAATAAATAGGGGAGGCATAATTGGCCAAGGGCAAAGGCATGGAGGTGGGACTATGCACGGACTGTTCAGGGAACAGAACAGAGGTTCGCCCTGTTCAGGGGAGGAAGGGATGTACCTTGGGGAAGCGGCCGAGAGCCAGGTGAGAAGGACCTTGAAGGCCAGGAGGACACGTGTGAACTACACTCTAAAGAGATGAAATTTTTCAAGCTGGGGAGGGATAGGTGTTGAAGGTCAGAGCAGGCAGGACCCCTCGAAATGGCCTGTTTGGCTAATTTTTTCTTCCGAGTTCTAGATGCTTTTAAAAGATTCTGTCCATCAAACAAAGTGCGTTTTTAATTAATTACATATTAATGTGCTTTCCTGACTCTTATTACTCAGACTTTTTCAGAGCTGTCACGGTTTCAAACTCCCATGAAATGTTCAGTATACATAGGTACTAACAGCTGGTATTAAGAAAATAAATTGGTTTGATGCGATGGAATGTGACCTGGGTGGGGCAAGGGGCCCTCGCGTAGATCGGATCCGAGAAGGCCTTTCTGGGGAGGTGACAGCCGGGCAAAGAGCAGAGGTGGAGCACGCAGATCCATGAATAGCAAGTGCAGAGGCCCTGAGGTGGGGGCGGGGGTGGTGTTTGAGAAACAGACCGGTGGGTTGTCGTGTGGGCTAGAGCAGCGGGACGTGGTCAGAGAGGGGGGCGGGGCCGGGGCTGCGCAGGCCCTGTAGGCCAGCACAGGAGTCCCACTCTGTTCCGTGTCCAGAGGAAAGGCCCCCGGGGGGGGGTTGAAATTCAGTTGTCCTGTGCAGCCTGATCTCAGGTATAATGTGCAATTAATTTCCTTTGGACTTTTTGAAGTAGTACCATAAGTAGCTTGAGGACACATGTTCACTGCTGCTATCACAGGCTCCTAGGAGTCCCGGGACATCAGGAGCTGGAAGCCACTAGTCAGATCTCATACCTGAGTGTCACAGCACAAGTTCTGATCCAGTAGATCTGAAGGAGCCAGAGAGTCTGCCTTCCAACGAGCTCCAGAGTGGCCAGATAAAATGCAGGAGACTCCTGAAGTCTGAATCTCACATAAACGCCAAATAACTTCTTCTTGCTTATTTCTCTTTTTAATTAAACTTTTTTGTTTTGAGATCACTGTAGATTCACATGCAATGGTAAGAAATAACACAGATTTCTGTGTACCCTGCACCCAGTTTTCCCCAATAGTAATATCTTGCAAGACTGGAGAACAATATCACAGCCAGGATATTTACATCAGTACAATCAAGATACAGAATGTTGCTCTGGCTGGGTGGCTCAGATGGTTGGAGCGTCCTCTCATAGGTACACCAAAAAGTTGTAGTGTAGGTTCCATCCCCGGTCAGGGCACATACGTAGGTTGTGGGTTTGATCCCCCGTCGGGGCTCATATGGGAGGCAAGCAATTGATGTCTTTCTCTCCCCACTTCCTCTCTCTCATAAATCATTAAAAAAAAGTGTGTGTATATATATATATATATACACATATCTCCTCGGTGAGGATTTAAAAAAAGACACAGAACGTTGCCAGCAGCGTCACAAAGATCTCCGTGTCATCCTTGTAAAGCCGGCCACTTCCCTCGCTCCCACTCTCATCTTTACTCTTGGCAACCACTCACCTGTTCTCCATTTCTGTACTTTCGCCATTTTAAGAATGTGGTATGAATGGAACCATATGGTATATAACCTTTTGGGCGTGATGTTTTTCATTCGGCATAAAAGATCCATCCGAGTTGCTGCGTGTAGCAGTAGCTCGTTCTTTTTTTTTTTGCTGAGTAATATTCCGCGGTGTGAATGCACCCCTGTTTGTTTAACCATTCACCCGCTGAAGGCCGTCTGGATTGCTTCCAGTTTGGGGCTGTTATGAATCCAGCTGCTATAAACATTTGCCTACAGGTTTTCGTGTGAACATAAGTCTGTCTCCATTGCTGTGGGCTAAATGCCCAGAGGGCAGGGACTAGGTCATAAAACACGTTTAGTTTTATAAGAAACTGCCAAGCTATTTTCATGAAGAATTTCTCAGTGTGAGTAAAATAGTATATGGGATATCTTACACGAAAAATAATATTTGTTGTTTACCTGAAATTCAAATATTCCTGGACACCTTGTGTTTTTATCTGCTTGCTATTCTGGCATCTCTTCTTCCAGGTGGTGCCAATGCTGCTGGTTTGCAAACTACATTTCAGTAGCTAGACGGTCATCTAGTTCTTTTTTATAATGATGAAAATGTTTCAGACACTGAAGTAGATTAAGGCCCTGGCCAGGTGGCTCAGTTGATTAGAAGCTTCATCCCATACACCAAAAGCTGTAGGTTCAGTCCCCGGTCGGGACACTTACGGAAGGCAACCAATTGATGTTTCTCTCTCCCCCCCCGCCCCATCCCCTTCATCTCTCTCTAAAATGAATGAATATCCTCAGATGAGGATTTTTTTTTAAAGTCTCTCAAAAAGTAGGTTAAAAACAATATAATAAACTTTTCTATATCTAGATTCGAGAATTTTCAAGACTGCCACTCTTGCTTCATCCACTTTTCTTATCGCCCCCCGCCCCGAAGTACTTAAAAGCAAATCCTGGACTTTTTGTCATGGTATCCCTACAAACCTCGGTACACAATTCTAGAAAATAAATAAATTTCCTGACTTGACCACAAGCCTGGGATCACAGTACTGACACCAACTCCCATGTTGCCTGGTTTCCACTTCAGGTGAAACATCCCTCGTTGCCTCATAAATGCCTCACTGTGCTTGAATCCGGGTCCAGAATGGCCCCCGCATTGCATTTGGTTGCTATTTTCTGAAGTAAGCACATCCAGGGTGACGGAGCAGGAATGAGAGGCCGAGAGAGGGAAAGGGCACAGGTGCTTGTCCCGTCGCCCAGCACGTACCCTGGACAGGCAGGACAGTGCTGACGCTGATGCCATCATTAGCTCGTTTTGTAGGGAGTATTGCCCCATTGTGCAGATGAGGATGCTGAGGCTCAGGGAAGACAAATTCCCCAAGGACCCTGAGCAGTAAGGTGAGGACCCAGATGTGGCCCAGACATTGGCTCCTTGTTGGTTACCAGAAATGATGTCCCATTCAGGCAGAGAAGTGCCAATAAAGAGGGCTGCGTGCACCCTGGTTGGTGTGGCTCAGTGGACTGAGCGCCAGCCTGTGAACCAGAAGGTCCCAGATTCAATTCCCAGTCAGGGCATATGCCTGCGTTGCAGGCCAGGTCTCCCAGTTGGGGAAGTGCGGGGATCGAAGTTTTCCTCCCTTTTTCCCTCCCTTCCCCTCTCTCTAAAAATAAATAAATAAAACCTAAAACAAAGGAAGGGAGGAGGAAATTAGTTAGGTATGTCATGGAGTGTCTGCCTTTGAAGGTGCCTAGCCTTACCATAATGTCCCGGAAATGTTTCTCGAAAGGGCTAGGCTGCCCAAGGCGGTGTCAGGTGTCCCAGGGAGAGTGACTCTGCAGTCTGGGCCCTTCCTTTTGCGTGCTGTGACCCAGGGTGAGCCCACGGAGGGAGGCGCCCGCAGCCTTGGCAACGGAGGGCTGCTCTCAGGGAACAGGGCCCAGGGGGAAGGCCTAGGGACATGCCAGGTTGGGCCCCTGACGCTGGGGCCCAGCTTGCAGCAAGCAG